TGTACAAAAACCAGACTGTGTCATGCACATGGATGTCATCAACAGCAGACACCATTACCTATTTATAGATCCCTCTCCACGCAATGAAAAAAAAAGAAAGAAAGATATACTACCAAAACTTAAACATGAAACGAAACAACACTCAGTTGATGACAATCTGTAGAATCATAATTTTGTAAGCATTTAAAAAACCAGACTGTTTGAAAACAAAACGCGTACATTTCACCTTCTATCAACGGTTAAGGATTTCAGACCATAGCCACCAACAGCTGATGACATCACAACAAGGTGCATGATGGGAAGTAATTAATATTCATGGATATGCAATGAGATGGAGCAGAGGGTATAATATACTACCAGCAGAATTCAATTTGAGTATTGCCTTTGAATTATACCAACATAATACATTATATTTAAAGTTTGATATGTTTCAGACTTTTAGTTTTCTAGACAATGACAACAAATAATAGAATTTACAGCATATTTGAATAAATGAAAACAAATACATTACTAGGAAAAGGCCTGACCTAATATTTGCTAATTTCACCCAATTGATTTTTTTTAAATTTCAAAATAAATACATTTGAAAGCAAATTCAGATCACTGAAATAACTCTGATGTTTAATTTGAATCTGATTTGAGATATATTTATTCAATAGTTCTACAAGTTATTAGTAACATTTTACACTTCAATTCAATTCAGAATAGAGTGCAACAATACAGAACAATAAAAAAACATTGCCACCATTAATTGCATGAATTGATGCAACTATGAGAGTTGTAAATATACACACGCAGCTATGTGTATTTGATTTGCAGCCGTCGACAACAGACGATGCAGCCGTTGACAACAGACGATCAGCTGACCTTGTATCAGTACACCTGAAAAATCTGTTTAAAATGCATAATAAGGTGGTGTAGATTGTTGACATTTATCCTTATATGTTACTCCCAAGAAAAATCATGCATTTATTGAGGGTGACTCAATGAATTTTGTTACCATCGCACAATGATTGATTAAATTTCTTTTGCAAATAAATTTGGGATGTTTGATGTAATAAAACCACCTGCCAGTGATTGATGACTATTAAAAACTACAAATTTGCATACAGCAAGAAAAAACAGTGTTACTTTCCTGTCATACAACAATGTAAAAAACTCTGTATTTTATAATATACTGACAAATCAAATACGGTGGTATGTAAATGACTAGCAGTCCGACCTTACTAAGTGATTTTATTTTTGTCAGTCATACCAACACCTGAATGTAGTGGCCCTGAAAAGTGTTTCAGTTGTCAATTTGTGAAAACACACAAGATAGATAGTTCTGACAGGGAATCAGCATTACGCCATTTCTAGATTTATGTAGTATTTTTTGACAAGAAGCAAGCACATGATCACAAGATCAGATCTACAATCTAAATTCATTTACCATTCACACCCTTGTGACCCAATCTTGGTACCTAATAAGGTCAAGGACCTCGACTCAACACAATTGAATGTGAAATAACTTTAAACACATCGCCTGCTAAAACTGTGTTTACCATTTGTTTTGGCTATTCAGAGTTTCAGCAAGCTATGTGATAATATGTCCTACTGAAAATAAACAAAGAATTGAAGATTCCATTGGAAAATGAACAAATCTGGGGGAGGTCTACCTGAGGTACCTATATGTATAGTATCAAAGCAATCGGACTTGCGGTTTTCAACAAGAACTCAAAAATATCACTTTTAACCATAATCTTGGGACAAAAATATTCATCAAAATTAGAGATCACGAAATGAACAAATTTAAGAGGTCTGCTCAAGGTACATAAAAGACATGAGAATTGTAGAAGAAGTTGAGAAAGTAAAAAGTTCACACGAACAATGACTCATATTTTAAGCTCCGCGAGACAAAGTCGACAGCAGGGCTAAAAAAAAAATGGGGCAACCAGACTATTATTCAAGATTATCAATTTTTACACTGCTTTCAATTATTTAAAATTGATAAAGCCAGTTTCCAGTATGATACTCGTTTCTCATTATATACCGGTACAATTGGAGGGTCCTTCCCATAATGCATTACATATATGTGCAGTGACATGCTCAGTAGCAACGTTAAGTTCAAACTCTCTTAAGGTCTGAATCTGTCATATAAATGGCAGTGTAGAGAGAAAAAAAGGCTATACACTAATACTCTGCATATGCAATCTGCATATTGTCTTTGAAGCAAATGACACACTTATCTTTGCCAAACGTAAGTACCGGTACAGATGATGCAAGTAAACAATACAAATTGAAATTCTTGGTGTAATACGCAAAGATCCTCATCATTGAATAGATGTTTTTCCGTGTGTGTCGAACGTCTGCCGCAAAAATCGAACAATTTGATTTTGAACTCGAATTTCTTTATTTCGAAACTTGCATCGACCGACCTATCTTCGACGGAGAAATATTGCTTTCGAATACTCTCAATTAATTGAAATTGTCTATCATCAAATGTCGACAGCACATTATTAAGCACGGAAATGTCCCCAAAATACTTTCACATTTGTCAAAACCCACGCGATGTTTGATGCCACTACGACACTAGGACCTTTGTTTGTCCTGTTTTTACGTTCGATTTCACGCATAACGCGTGATTCTCGCAGTGAACGGAAAAAGATAGATTGTTCACAGCTAGACTTCGATACCATGACAAGAATAAAATCATTTTGAGTTCTCCTGCAGCAGTAATGTAGAAAGCTACAGCATTATGGTGATAGTGATAAACATTTGTATAGAGAGACTACATTTTCATATCACATCACATAACATACAAACACTACCGCTGTAAGTCAGGATTATACAAACTGGGAATAGGAGCTATGAAATGATTTGGGGTTTATTGTTGAAATTAAAATAATTTATCAGCAACATACACTAATTAAATGGTAAAAAAGACAAACCAAAAGATTCCTATATTTATCTCTTTGGCTGGCTGCCTACCTCTCTTTTCGATCACTAACTCTGCC